CTTTAATTCTTTCATATCCTTAACCTCCATCAAAATGTTTGTCTTAGAGGTGTTCAACCGAGTGAGAGGTGCTGATGGCGCCTTGTTCCTGCGTTTATCCCGGGGAACCTCATGCCGGGGGACGGGATCATGTTGCTTCTTGTTCTCGGTCTTTTCATGAGAAAGACCAGATCTTCTTGGATTTAGTGATTCCTCCATATTAATGTATTTTTCAGCTCGGGTGAGGAGCTCGGTCACTGTCTGTGGCGGGGTCTTTGATAAAGACATCTTGAAAGCTTCACATCTTACGACGTAAGTGAGGGCGGAGACAGCTGCCGTGATGTGAAAGTCAGGTATTTGAAGTCTTTCCTTGTAAAACTTTGTCATAAATCCTCGTAGGGTTTCAGTTGGTCCTTGGCAAAGTTGCATGAGAGAGGTCGCGGTCTTCCTGATTCGCTTGCTACTTGCAAAGAAGGCTGAGAATTTATCAGCCAAATCTGAGAATGAGGCTATGGAGTTGGGCTCCAATGTCGAGAACCAATCCCTAACAGCATTAGTCAACGTTTGTGGAAAGACTTTGCACATAACCTGATCCGGCGCAACTTGCAAGTTCATGACATCAGTGTATACATTGAGATGGTTGATGGGGTCGGTCGTCCTATCATACTCTTTAATGTGAGGATATTTGAATCTGTCGGGCAAGGGCTATGACAATATCTCTGGCATGAATGGAGTGTTAGACGTGAAACCTGTTGGACCCCGAGCATTCCGTTGCAGGCCAGCTGTAATTCCTTCTTGAATGATTTGAGTAATTTCATCGAAATCCACGGCGATCGATCTCGAGCCCGAAGCCATATTGTGAATACCCAAGGTTCCTACTCCACCATTTGCGGGGTTTGGTGGTCGTGCTCGATCATCAGTCATAAAACCACCATGCTCCGCCTGCGCCGGCGACGAATGTGAATTTCTTTGACTTAACAGTTGCGTGAGCGTGGCCACCTGCTGACGGAGCTCTTCAAAGGCTTCGGTTGTGATGACCGCTGGTAGAAGTGTGAGCACTCCTGAGGATTTTTCATGAGGAGCCGATTGATCTTCGGCAGGATGAGGGATGGGAGCGGATGAGCTTGCGGTAGGAAGACCTGATCGTGTGTTAACCATGGCTTTTGGTAGCGTTTCCCACAGACAGCGCCAATGATACTACCAAAAATCGTACCTGTATATTTCCCAAGCTTGATGATTCGAATTGAGCACGATCGTAGTCTTCTGGTACCTGTAATAAAGGTAACGAGGTGTGTTCTCGTCGCTCCTCCAATGTTTAAGTCATAAAGGGAATTATACGCGTGAGGCTATAAATTGGAGAATAATGAAAATGAACCTCAATAATGGCTCAAGGTTCTGTATTTATAGTGTTAAGCGACATTCTCCTAGTGGGACTCAACTAGCTAGGTGTCCTTATCTGTTGGAGTCCTGTATAGTTAACGAGTTGGTCAAATACCATAATTATATGTGGGATAGAATCCTTGGGGGAGTCAAGTATATGGTTGAGTTAGAGTCCTAATTGCATAGGAGTTCTAAAAGGTCAACAATCGTAGGTTGTGAGGGGAGGGTATGCTCGAGGACTAATAATACTCGAGTACAAGAATCGCAATATGTAAAGCAGCAAGACAATGAGTGCTCGAGAATAACCCTCAGGTTGAGCATATGCTCGAGCACTCCATATGTGGAATTTGCGGGTTTATCCAAGATTTGTGGTCGGTATAAAATGATCGACCATTCATGTATATCATAAAAGGATAGCGTAATCCTCGAGATAATATGGTGGTCGGGTCATCTGGAATGTCAGTATCATTAAGGATCAACTTGATCTTTTTAAAAGTTTAAGACCAACTTGCTCGGGCAATGCTAGCTTAAGGACAAATGACATAAATTACCAGATAACCAAGTGATTAATTCAAAAAGGCTTACTAGCACGAAACGTCTGTACGTTTGACTTTTGTGTTCTGTTTGATTGTCAATTGTTTTCGTGAAAAATGTATTTTTTCCACTTAAATTCATACTTTTATTCTGTTTAACTGATATATTTTTTCCATGAAAAATATTTTCTTACTTTTGGTCATGTGA